CAGACTATGGTTGGGACATGCCCATTGTTAGATCGAAGGGCTGACAAAATTGGTCCAGGGCCTTCTAACCAAGGCAGTCAGGGGCCAAACGCATGTCTATATGATTCCCAGTGCAGGGACCTCCATCAAGGGCACACCTAGGCAAGCCCCCGAGAGAGACTGGCCCTGCCTGGGCAGGACAGAAAAGGGAGTAGGCAAAACAAGTTCCAAGGAATTCTGCCTAGGGACAAGATTACCTAGTCCTTGGTTAATGGTCAGAAAGCATTCAATGGAAGCTCAAGCTACACAGGGACTCTGCAAATGGATTTTGGTCGGCCACTGCCATCCATGGGCTTTTGCAAAGCAGGGTGTTCAGAATTTAAGCTCTAAAACACTAGTCTCGGAAGCCCACAGGGGCCGTTCTCTATTTGAACCGCCAACCTTTCCTGAACAATGGAGCTTTTAACCACTGCGCTCCTCGATTTTCCAGTGAAGGGAAAGTCTGTATCTTTCTAGTAAAGTGCGAAAACCCCGGGAAGAGCAGGCAAGGCAAACACTGACTGTTCTCGCTTCTTGTGCGCAATACTTCCGAGCCCAATCGCTGAGCTCCAATGATTCTACAGGGGAACCAGGATGCCCGACCCTACACTGCCATCTAGCCCGAGGCACCGCTGGCAAGACTCTTGCTACCATATGGTTATTCAGAAGATATGCTTAAGGCAAGGCGTTCCTTCCCTTCCCTTGATTTAAAAGGCTGAAAAGACAGACCTGGTCACCTGGCAGGATGAAGCAGATGCAAGCGTCTTCGTTGGAGTCTAGGGCGCAGCCTCTTTTCCCAGAGCATTCCCTGCGGCCCTCGGGGCAGGGAAGCGGGCTTAGAAGGGCAGGGTCAGACTAGAAAGGGCAAAGGGAAAGGGATCAAAAAGAACCAGAGCGACCTCGGAGCACAGCCCGAGCGACAAGTTCCAGGGACCCGACGCCTGCACTCCAGAGCGCTCCTCGCGCCGACCGTTTGTATTTAGACGCTCGGGGAGAAGCCCGCCAGTCTCCGCGGCAAGACCTTCCCAGCCGCCGGCTCCGCCGCGCTCCGGGATTCGTCGCTGCAGATTCCACCCTGTCCGTCCGTCTATCCCGGGGCCGACCGACGCGGCGGAGAGCCTTCACGGTAAGCAATGCGACCCCAAAGTAGAGGTGCGACGTTTGTGTAGTTCACATGGTCGGAGCCCCTCCAGGTGCGAAGTGAGAAATGAGAGCTATGTGGCGAATTGTCAATCGGAAGGATAAAAATGGTTCTTTCGGGTTCACTGCCCTCAACGTCACTTCCGGCAACAATAGGAAACGTCAAAGCCCCGACAGTTCGCACTTCTGGCTGCGGCAGCTTGAAGCGCGCTGAATCCAAAGGAGTTCCGTGCGGTGGCCGGTGCTGTGGGCACAGTCCCCGCCAGCGACGTGGACAAAGAAAGGGTGAACCGGCTTCTCCATGCCCTGGGCACCAGCTCCCGGCTGAAGCATTTTCCTTGTGGCTAAAAGCCCCCGCCCAGAGGCCGATTCGTCGCGGCGGCGGTGGGGATCTCAGATCGCTCAGGTACAACGCCCGCCTGTCTATTTCACGTCTCGGGTCTTGTTCTCCCTGCACGGCGTGCACTTTCCTTCTCGGAAATAAGACAGCCAGTGCTTACCAGTTGCTAGAAACTTGCCGACCCGCAAGAGTTCCAGACCAATGATAAGACTAAGCCTATTGAGTGACAGCAGTGGTGGCTTATTAACACAAAGAATCGGAGTTTGGAGGCGGGAGGGGGTGTGCTCTGTGTTTCTAGGCCACTGGGGTGGTAGGTCAGCCTGGTCCCCCAGGTTGTAAGTGACCAGGCAGCGTTGTGAAATCAAGCTGACCCATGACGAAGGTTACTTTCTCCTGGACCAACTGTTGCTTGCCTGCAAGTTAGAGCTTTGTTCTAATGGTTATGCAAATTTTTGATTCCCTTGAATGCAAATAATAAAAGTTGAAGTCACAATGGATTGCAATTACTTCAGCTGTCAAACTCTGGTTAGCATTTGGAAAACTTTTGTTTTTATTATTTGTTTTTTGTGATAGGACATAGTCCCTCCTAAATAGTTGGTAACGCAACAGCCATTGGATGAAATCCCCTGGCTGTACCAATGGGCTGACAGTTGTGGGGATGGCTCAGGAATGTTTTATCATGAGGGTACCTTGAGGGTCGCTGGGAGCCAAAAGGCACCTAGAGGCAACCACTGTCAGGGTATGTATTTCCAGCGAGTCAGTAAGTCCAAGCCAAAAATCGAAGGGAAAATCTTCCACAAGGTCAGACACAGACAGCAGAAATCATTGTGACTATTTTAGGAAGTGCCTGCCATGGATACTCTAATGACTGTTAGGAATTAATAGATTGAAATAATTTAACAAAAATGTTCGCAAAGAAATGTAATCAGATGAGAAATGTGAGGTTTAAAATAACTGAATTTGTATAAGCATTAACACATTTTTGTACCCCTCTACCTTCTTTTTCT